ATACGAGGGCTGCCTTTTATATTTCGGGATTTGGAAACACTAGTGTAGCAATCTAGCAACTGACACCACTATCGTAAAGTTTGAATATTTTGAGGTTCCGTTGCAAAATTTGAGCGCGATTTGTGTTGTTTACACTAAGTTATAAGGTTTTGTTTCGGCCAAGTTACGGAGTTTAACCGTGGGCATTTTCGCGCGACAACTTTCGACGTGGACTAACTCAACAGCAATGCATGGATGAACTTGGTTCAATTTTTGGGGATGAAGCTCCATCCAGGGCCAGTGTTTATCGATGGTACAGTGGTTTCACCCGAGGTCGTAGTTCACTCGAAGACGAATTTCGTGGAGGTCGTCTAAAATCAGTTGTTGTTCCGGAAACCGTTGATACTGTGCACAAACTAATACTGTGAGATCGTCATGTGACCTATCGGGAGATTGAGGCAACCTTAAGCATTAGTGGGACTAGCTTACATTCATTTTTGCATGAACATTTGACCGTAAAAAAATTTGTTGGCGTTGGATCCCACGTCACGACAATGCGAGCTCCAACACATCGGCTCAAACAACCGCATTTTTGAGCACTCAAATCAACGATTTGACAGGTCATCAGCCATGTAGCCCCCGGGTGACTTCTTCTCATCCCGTACGTAAAAAATAAAATGAGAGGTCAACGCTTTTCGACACCTGAAGAAGCCGTTGATGCGTTCATAATGCATGTTTTAGAGCTACTTAATCAGAGTGGCAAAAGTGCTTCGAAAATTGGTTCGAGCCCATACAAAAGTGTATAGATCTTAATGTGGAGAATTTTGAAAAGCAGTCAAGCAATTTTCATTAAATAGTATTTGTTCCTGTTCTCAAATCCCGAAATATAAAAGGCAGCCTACGTATAATAATGGCTTGCGGCGGCCAGCCAATGTACATGTCAGTGCTTTTGTGCTCCCATGCGAGTGTGGTACCAATTAACCGACCCAGCTGACCACGGAGGGATAGAAGATATGTTGGCCTAGGCGGATATACTTTTGTGAAATGTGCCCCTGCTACTACACCACCTTCGCAATGGTCACGTTAGGGCAGCAAATTTGTAACAAAATCTCGGTTATGTCACCAAAAGATTATACACATATATAAATTACATTATACATATTCATTTCGACACACAGCAGATGTATTTGGGAAAGTAAACTGACCAGCATTAGCAGCGGTCGAATCGACAATAGGGTACTTGTCAAAGAATATTGAATGGGAAGGACGCAGCGCATAGGATGCGATCGCAGATAGTATCATCATCTCCCAAGTGAGCATGAACGATGCCCAAACTGTAATGTTCACATTTCCGGGAACGGTATATCATCACAATGGAGAGCCTCAAATTTTCGGGTCCGTTCACTACAGGTTTGTCGGTAAATTGCTGAAAAGACTGCTATGACAGAAAGTATTACTTCTATACTAGATAATACGCCCCAGTTACTGATTAATCTCCTCTTCGCTTATATGAGAAAAGGGATTCGGAACTGATTTCATCTCATTGTGCGTTTGCAAAAGCTGGTGGGAACGGTCGAAGGCCGAGTGACCGTCCCGAGGATTATGCGGAAGGCTTCATAGGTATAGGCACTTCAGCAACTCTACTCTAATAATAGAAATTTCAAATGCCCGCTATGAAGAGCCTATTCGGTATAGTGCTTTGAGTATAGGTCTCACATTGTGCTTTGGCTCCGCTGGTAAGTTGTTGATCCGGTTCAATGATATCAAAAGCAGCAGCGAAGTCAAAACAGAATTTTTGAATAGTATAGAGGCATTGAGCAACATCGACAATTGTGAAGAGCGCACTGAAGCGATATGGAGTGATTTTGGCCTAAAAAATATGATTTGTATGTCCACAGTACAATGACATACGTAGATTACTTTCAAATCGGATATTTTCTTAAAAATATCGTCTTCTCACCTTTCCGAGCGGTACGATAACGTAACAGCCGTAAAATGCGATACACATTGAGATCAATCCGAACAGCTGCGCAAACATAAACCACCTGAAAAGGTTATCAATCATACAGACTAGTGGAGCACTTGTTCGTGGTTCGTTTGGAAGTGATACAAAATCTGGTAATCTACCAAGTAGATCGCGATAGGGCTCTGTTCATAATTTCGACAGAAGGCAAGAAATCATTTTCCGAGTAGAACCGGAAGTCCGACTAGCATCTGTGAATCTTCCAAGCTGCCCCCGATTATTATGCAAGCTTCTTACTTGGTTCATTTTGCGTTAAGGTCACGTCATTTCTCTTCCACAGTCGCTTTCACCGCCAGTTGGTCCTCAAATCAAGAATCACTTACAAATTATGCCGATGTCCGAGCTCCATAAAGACAACCACGCTGGTGAGCTCGAATATTGTACGAAGTATCGGCGTTTGAAAGACTAACCATTCCACGCGTTGGAGATTGCGACTGAATTTCTACATAAACAAAACAAGAAAACAAAGAGCTATACATACATACATACATACATACATACATACATACAGTAGCGCATAAACGTCTTTGGCCGAACGTCCTCAGGCTTTCTTGGGCGTAACTTTTTTTCTTGGTGGAGCGAGATTTTGATTTGTTAAACTGTAGCATAGTTCACACTATCCTACATTATTTGACTGCAAAGCAGCAATACACACATAACTAAGAGCGCGCTGTTTCTTGCGGTAGTAGACTTCACTGAAACAAGTCAGCGACGTCTGCAATTATTCGCACCATATGTGCGTTTCCTCCTCTTTTGTATTCGGTATCAGCGCTCGTACACATTAGACATGGCAATCCTTCCTATCAACAGGAAGGAGGAGTGCCTGGCCGTAGCTATTGAACTCGCGCCTTTCTCTGACCATGTGGGTCTTGTTTGCCCCCAGTATCACGGCAAGGGGGATAGGGCATATCATCCAAAGCTACCCCAATTGCCTATGGGTCAGTTTAGCGGCGGTCGTCCAAACGGTCGGTTGTTCCTAGAGGTGGGTTAAATATGTTTAGGGTTATCATGCCCGTTTGGGGATATTTAGTCTAGGGAACCGGTTTTTGAAGTTTATTTGTTGAATGAAGGATGGATAGTGATAATATACAGGTTTCCAGGCTCTGAAGAAGGCGATTACGCCAAAAGGTAAGTTGATAAGAACTCATCTTGGCAGCAGGTTTTTGAAAAAAAAGTCTTATAACATTAATCCTGCTACTCTGAGCATGTCTTGAATAATCCGGTACGGTGCTCTGGCAAGCCGGTAGAAGACTTCCTTCTTTCACGACAATCGAGCTTCTCGTACAAGAACTCCATTTGTGTTTTATTCACCTTCATTACGCGCGCGTTGGCGAGCCTCTACCTTCTGTAGGCAGTTTTCCGGCTTTCGCGTCCTTTGTAGGCAGCTTCCTTCTGCCCACATTCGCTGGACTTCATAATTATGTATGAAGGACTCCTTGTCTTCTCGCAACCCACTGCGAAATTCTATAGCTTTTTAGCACCATATGATGATTCAACAGCGCTGCCCCAAGTCTAGTGAATCGGTACTTGCAGATGAAGGTAATCATTTACTTTATTTGAGACTTCATTTTCAATTTGATGCAGCCTTCATTACGAGATCCTCCGTTTCGTTCTTGTCCTCGGAATCATGGGAAGCAAGATGGCAATGATTGTTGGAAATGGCTGAGGCATAGTGACTTTGATGTTCCTCCGCTCGATCAGATCAGCATCTACTCTTGGACGAGCCGATGTTCAAAGCCCCAAGTTCTTTGGCCAAGGTCATCTCTCCTTGATAACCCCCTACGTCAAAAAAGCTCAGGCGAGGGTCCTACGAGTGACATCCTCGTGCAATTCCAGCCTTCTTACTGCATATACGCTCTTGCTTTATACATATTTGTGGTGAACAAATTTCTACATCACGGCATGTCAACATGGCCTAAGGCTGGTAGCAACATACCATTTTACCGCCGTGCCACATACCATTGCATTTTCTTCTACAACATACCATTTTTGCAAATATTGACTTTTGCGTCAGCAGGGATTGAACCCATAACCTTTCTGTATGCAGACATGGGCTCACTATCTTAACCATCCCTGTTCCAACTCCAGAACACCATTTTTCCCAGCGATGATTTCCAAGACAAGGTTGTGCCGAAATAGTTGCGAAAATAGTAATTTGAAGGACAATCGTGCAGAAATACGTAGTAACAAACAACTATCGCAACCAAGTATTATGAATAGTGATCAACTCGGTTCCCCGAAATCTTCTTCTGAATATTATCGTTGAATCGTGTGGTTTCGCGCATACAGCCAAACCACGGTGAAGGGCTCGCTTTCCCTATCTTACGATCTTTCGTGTTCAACAGCGATTTGTCGCGTGTCCAAGTCCAACTATAATCTCATATTTCTTCGATCCCTCTTCTTGTATAATAAATACATCACTCGATGCAATTATATGTAACTCGAACATGACTAAAATTTCTTGGCATGACCATTGCCCGAAAAATTCTTTACTGCTTTACTACCGCCTTATTAATAGGCTTTTCTGTCAAACCTCCTTGAGAGAGCATAATACGAATCGTATTTATTGTTCGGAGTGAGCTACAGCACTCAAAAGTTGTGTCCAGTCCCTAGGAAATGAGCCCAGTGTATGGTACGTAGATCGTGATGGCCAAGGTTGAAAGAATGCCCATATACTGTGCTGCCATAAGTAGTAACTGTCGCTGTCGCCGACATGTCAATCAGGCTTTCATTCCCTAAGACTTCTCCTCTACTCCTATTTTGGTCTCCTCTACTCCTATTTTGGTCTCCTCTACTCCTATTTTGGTAATCGGATCATAAACTGTCGCTGTTTGGGGTTCACATTTGGTAAAAGCTTTAGCATCACTGAATATGAAAGCAGAGTAGGTATCACTTGTAACACCTGCCGTCCGGAATGTTGATCATCGACTTCCTCAAGCGGGCGCCAGAAACGTCTCCATTTGTCCCTGTCACGAGCCAGAGTGGTCCTGTGAATCGTCCCCGCTTCAAGGACACGAGCTCCAACATTTCTTTCGTTCAGAGCATTCGTGAAGAAGTCTGAACCTCTCGTTGACGGCCGTCCTTGAGCTCCTTTAATATCCTGTGGGATCCAGTCAGTAATCGTCCTAGTCCAACGGTCATCACTAATCGCGTAACGTGTCCGGGCCAAATGATCTTCGATTCCTTGGCATAATCAACGGCTTCCCTGATCTGATGGATGACGGAGCTCGGAACTCCGGATTTCCTCCTGCACTTGCGTGTATAGGAAAATTCTGAGCATCGCCCTTTCTGAAGCGCGTTGAGTAACGCCAACAGTATGTTCATCCTGCTTTCGTAGAATCCAGATCTCCGAGGCGTACGCCGAAGCAGCAAGGACAGCAGTGTGGAAAAGGTGAGCGCGAAGCCGAATCTTCTTCGTCTTCTTCACTACTAACTCAATATTCTCAAATGCTTCCCTCGCGGCGCGTTTCCTTCGGCCCAGCTTCGGATCTAGGTGGTTCATCATGTTGACTTCTCAACCTAGGTACACATAGCTAGAGCACTGGAGATAATCTTTCCGTTCAGCGTGAAGGGAGCATCGGATACCAATCCGTTTTTTCATGATCATCGTCTCCGTTAAGTTGAGTCTCAAGCCGATCTTTCCACAAGCACTTTGAAACTCGACCTGCATTCGTTCCGCCCGCTCGATGTTCAGTGCTATGAGCACGATGTCGTCTGCAAAGCGGAGGTGATGTAGACAACGGCCGTCAACCTTCAATCCCAAGTCTCCCCATTCCAAATGACGCATGCTATTCTCGAGAGCGGCGCTGAAAATTTGGGCCAAACGGTATCGCCCTGCCGGACACCTCTCTTCACATTGACAATGACTTCCTTGTAGAATGGTGGGATCCTGGTCGCGAAATTGCCGTAGAGCTCACGAAGCATTCTTATAAACAGTAACGCTCAAAAGTATTTGACCAAATTCTTCTTCAGTCGTAATTTTAGTCGTAATTCCTTTCTTACTGGATCTGATCATGCAAAATTTCAATATGTATAGCATGGGTGTGTTGTGAATATCGACCACTATTAACACTCAATCTGATCATGTTCCAAATATCCCAAAAAGCTTGGAATTAAAACCAACTGGAAATACAGATATTTCCTTCTGGGATTTCCTTCCTTTTTGTCGTGTCTAGAGTACGAGCGCTAATGTTGAACACATTAGAGGAGAAAACGCACATAAGGTGCGAATAACTGAAGTCGTCACAAACTACTCGCTTTCCGCTTAGTCTGCAAACGCCATCCCCTTAGTTATGTGGACATTGCTGTTTGCAGTTAAAAAAGAGTTGGTTATTGCGAAATATGCTTCAGTTAAACATATCAAAATTTCATGCGATTTGCTTCACTGAGAAAAAGTTGCGGCCGAAAACTGCTTGACCGAATACCTTAGAGCGCTACTGTACATTGAGTAAAAGCACAATGTTTGCCCAGAGCTTCAACTACCGCTTCTGCCTCGACGATAGGCCGAAGGCTTTCCTCAAATCGATGAGCGTATGACATAACGGCATTTTGTATTCTCGTGACTTCAGTGAGTCTTGTAAGAGTTAGGATATGATCGATTGTACTAAACTCTCTCTGAAACCCTGCTTGCTCACATGGCTCTCCTTCATCTAATATGAGAATCAAATTTTAACTTTAAAAAACAAGCAAAACATCACTCTGTGCTCGGAATGTCTGGGAGCATCTTCACACAGCATAGTGGCGGGACTCGGAAGGAGATGTGGATCTTCCTGAAATACGTCTGATGGAACGACTGAATAAAAGCTCTAGAGTAATCTCCGCTGGCCAAAATTCAACCTACTCAGTTATGGCACGAGTACAGCCCAGATTTTCTTGTTTCTAGATACAAACCCTCTTTTCAGCAAGCGTCAATTATTTGTAAGGAAAAAGATATGTTATTAGGTTGTCGGAAAAGTATTTGCGCATTTTGGTTTCTATGTTGTGAAATCTTTGGGGATTGCTCTAGAGCCTTCACTGCGGAATATGAGTAAGTGCAGGTCAATGCGCTCTCCACACCATATCTGCCGTAGCATTTCGCAACGGTTCTGGCTGCAAGAATCGCTCTCGACCCAAAGCGAGTCAGACTGCCTTTACTTTACCTGTTCAGAAAAAACGTTAATTCAAATTGAGCAACAGGGGAAATATGCGATCCGATAGTATCATCTATTGCCTCTAAAAGCGCAACAAGAAGTTGCTACAACAAGTTTAAAAATGGCCACTTTGACTAGACCGAAAAAAACACTGTCTGGGAGACCAATTGACCTGAATGACGACCACCTCCTGGAACTGGTTGAAGAGGATTCCAGGTGTAGTACCCGTCAGATGAAACAGGAGCTCATAGCCATCACGACGCAGCAGCTGTCCATTTGCATCGCCTCGGAAAGACATGGAGATTCGGAGATATGGATAAGTTGTGGCCTGGGTGGCCACCACCTCCAAATGAAGAGGGATTCATGCCTGAACTTGGTGACTTTCCGACGCACCTTCGCATGACTGGAAGACTTAATCACTGGTAGCGAGAAGTGTGTTCTCTACTTAAACCACACGAGGAAACGCCAATGGCTTGGATGCGTAGAGCATGGAATCCCAACCTCCAACCCAGAATTCCTACCTTAGAAGGCAATGCCAAGCGTTTGAAGCCTTTTGAAAGGATCGTTCACTGGGGCGTTCTACCACCGAATTCCGCTGTCGGCACTGAAGCCTAGTGTGCTTTGTGAATCGGATTGCTGCAGCTCTAGGAGAGAAACTGAGGAAAGTCTGTTTTCTCCACGACAGTGCTCGCCCACACTTTTCGAAGGAGGCTCAGGAAAACTTCAAAGCTTGAGATGGCATGTTCTGGCCCACCCACTGTATTTAACAGACCTGGCTCCAACGGATTATCATCCGCTCCTGCCGCTGTCGAACCATCCGAAAAATAAGAAGTTCCATTATGTGAATCAACTCGAGACGTACATTGACGACTTCTACTTCTCGAAACCGCAGGAACTCTATGCAAGCAGGAGCCACAAGTTGCCTGATAAATGGCAATACCTTGTCGATAGTCAAGGTGCATATATATGTTAATTATTAGTTGTCGTAAAGGAAAAAAATAAAATTGAAAAAAAANAAAAAAAATTGCAAAAGGCGCAAAGACTTTTCCGAATGATGGCCAGCAATGTCCTCTCACAACGAAATGATGAAGCAAATGTTAAAACTTTTACCGAGTGTACCACAACAACAAATATCAAAGTTAGTTATGGCTCCTTGACATCGCTTCAAACTCGGTGAAGTGTTCTCAAATTTGAATATGTTTTGATTAGCACTCTCCTCTTTAGATGTCATGGGTGTCATCACTGTTCCGTGAACTCTTTCATCGAGCATGAAGGACCATCGTTGATTGCATTAAATATCAGTTGACTTTCTTCCTTCCATTCATGACATATTCACGCAGACCTTCACAGCCCGGTGTAGGCTGCCACCGGCAGCTAGATGGAATCCCATGGTCTTCTTTACGTTCAGCAGAAGTTCGTTTTCTGCCAGCCCTCTCTGTCATTTCTGCAACCTCCTCTAGTTCTGCTCTCCATGGACCTCCTCCACTGGGGGCTCTTCAATGAAGGGTCTTCAGCCAGTCGATGAAGTGGCCACCTCGGATGACGGCTAGAGGAATAAATCGCGAACGACAGTCGGCATTTGTAGCCTAGGGATGCAGTCGAATTCAATCTGTGAATTCCTTCCTCTGTTATGTTGAGTCGATTTCTATCTTCTGGTTGTTTCCAGGTACATGCAAACATACGTGTGTGAGGAGTCTGCGAGTGCGGTTGATATCGTGCACATTGGCTCAGGCAGAAACTTGCACTACGGTGACTGGGAAGCAAGCGGGGAACGTTTCAAAGCCGCCTTTAAAAAAAAGAAACATGTTCCCTCTGGGATAGCCTGTCTAGCTATACGCAGCCAACCGGAATAACGAAGTCAGTGTCTAGGAAGCTATTTCGAATGCCAAAAACAGCAGTATGAATGGGGTTGGATCACCTGAGCTTGGAGTCCCCAATAAGGCAGCATCGCGTAAGACCGCTTGAGAGAGGCTGTCAAAACCATCTCAAAACCAGCTGTCTAAAAGGGGGTAGGTGAGGAACAACAACGACTTAGCGAACTGACCGAGACGGTAAGACCCCTTTCCAAGAATGGAGCGGAACTATCCTTTGAAACATGGGACAGTAGCGTCAGCGGATTCACTGTTTACTTAACTATTCACTTGGTCATGAACATT